GCCCCTGCGACAGATCTCACGACGGCCGCTCCCGAACAGACCGTGCCTGCCAGGGAGCGCATCGAAAGGGTCATTGAGCAAGCGATTCACGAGGCACTCGATCACTGCCGCTATCCCACGGCATGGGCTCTGCGTACGCTTTACGACGAAAAGTCCTCCGACGCGCATTTTCTCACTCTGGTCGAGTCCATCTTTTCTCAGACTGCCGACTCGTCGGTCGTTGACGAGTTTGCGAAGCTCATCGAGGCGAAGAAGAGGGAAGGTAACAAGGAAAATCGAGCCCGCGATCACTTTGGCCCACCGTCGCCAAATCCCAACGGCATGAGCGGACAAAAAAGGAAGCGTGCACCGTACGCCAAACTCATCACGCTCGATCTCACCAAGGCAAGACGTCCGAGTTCACCTGAACCCACACCTGCGCCTGCGGTGCCGCCTCCAGTCGTCGAGGCGCCCGTGCCCGTGCCAGCAACGCCCATTGTTGTGACGCCGTCAAAGAGGAAGCACAAATCGCGAAAGCAGCACACAGCATCGCCGTTCATGGCGAAACCCTCGACCGCCGGCGATGGCGGCGCCCTCGTCACGCCGTCTCGGAGGCGTGCTCGTCGGGACTCCGCAGGCAGCGACTCGTCTGCTCTGTCGGAGCTTTCGGGCTCGCCTTCTCTGCCGTCGCCTACGCCTGCAGCTATCCGTGATCGCAACGTCGAAGGGGCTGCCGCCGCCCCCGCGACGAGCGCCAAGATCATCTTCAACGAACTGCGGCCCAGTCGACAACGCAACGCAAAAATCACAAAGAAGATGATCATCGACGCACCCGACCCCTCGGCCTTGTCATCCTCGGGCAGCCCTGCGCCTGCTGATCCTGCCATGTCGGACATTCCCTCGTCGCCCCAATTTGCTGACGCAGTTCCCGCTCGTAGGCCGGTCGGCAGGCCAGCTAAGGGCTCCAAGACGACACGAGCGGCGAAGGCAAATGCCAAGGCGTCTACGCAGGGAAAGAGCAACAACGAGGTCAGCGCTGTGGATGAAGCCAACACGGCCAGGCGGAGGATGGCGCGGCTTCAGAGCAACTTTGCCGACGTCGATGCCCCCGAGGAGAGCTCAATCCGCGGCGAGACGCAGAACAGCGCCAGCGCCAGCGCGAATGCGACCAGCGCCATCGATCCGCCCTTCTTGGGACGGAGCTCCAAGGCCCCCGGTGGCCCCCCCCAATCCCGGGTTTGCCCGGAACCGGAAGAAGCGACAATCGGTGGGAAGGAACCCCCAGCGTGCCTTGGAACGCAGGCCAAGGGGGAAACCACCCGGCTTAACAAGAGGGGGTTTGAAGGGGTCCAAGCCCCCTTCGCGAAAGGTCGTTCGTTCCCACCCCGAGGAGCCTCGAAATGGGAATCCTTCCAGAAGCTGGCACGCCCGTCAGCACGCGGGCTGTCAAAAAGCAACGCACCTGGCACTGGGCTGCGTGTCAAGTCATCGTGAGTATATTCTTCCTCCCTTGCGGGCAGCGAGGCGCATCATCAATCCATCGCGTGTCCTCTGTCCTCGTCTCATGCTCTTCCGATCTAACATACACTCTCTCTCTCCCAGGCCCAAGAAGAAGACCATCGGCACTGCAGCAGGCGTACCTCGCCAGAGCGGAGAGGGACATCCTTTCTCATCCAGCGGGGCTCACTTCAATTCGGTACGTGCTTGTGCTTTGCGTGTGGTTTCTCTGCATTTCTCTGCATTTCCTCATGATTTCCTCATCACTACATCCATGCTCTGCTCGTCATGTGGGTGGATCTGAGTGAGCCTGGCTTTGTCTTGCTCGATCTGGCTCGATGGCCCCCATTCTCCCTCTCCTCACCCACGCCAGGCCCAGCCCATCCCCCCCCCCTCGTCATGCCAACGGGTTGCCGCCCACGCACAGAGTTTTAGCGACCAGCTCATCTCCCACTTTTATTTTGCCCGCGACCCGGTCACCTGGTCAGCATACGCGGTCCCCCCCCCCTTCCCCCTTGGAGACAAATTTGGGTAATTCGAGGGGGGAGGATGACAACGACGATTATTGCTCGGCGGGCGGCGGGGTAGGTGAACTCATTCGCTGTGAGCACTGCTCCCGGTCCTTCCATTTCGAGTGCGTCGATCTGCTCGTCGACGAGCCTCTCCCTGATGAATGGTTTTGTCAACGGTGCATCGGAACGAGGTTTCCGACCCGATCATCTGACAAGAGGCCGGGCCATTTCGGTGCCCTCCTGGCGGTGCTTGACAAGACCAATCCAGGGGCGTTTGAGCTGCCGCAGCACATCCAGACCTACTTTGAAAATGTGCGAGCTGGTCCTCAGGGGGACTACGAGGAAGAAAACGCCGTGGTGCCCAAGGTCCCCAAGTATGTGAAAGCGTCCCTCTTGCCGGCCTCGGCGGCGGCAGCGGCCATTGTGCGCATGTCAGCTGACTTGTACCAGGAAACGAGGTGGTTACGAGGAGGCGCCGGACTTCCACAAAGTCCGCGATGCAGATGGGTCGCCAGTCTTGTGCCACAACTGCCAGCAAGCGACGGCCAGCGACCGTTCCGTCATTCCGTGCAGCATTTGTGGTCTGCACTGGCATCTGGACTGTCTCGACCCGCCGCTCGCCATCCCGCCGGTTCTGCGCACCTGGGTCTGCCCGGCTCACAATGATGACTTGCTGGCGAAGCTTCCCGGCAGCCTCGCCCCCGCCCACAAGTATCGCAAGATTCGCGATGCCACGGTTATCACCCCGCTGTACAGTCGTGGCATGAAGAACAATGGCTTCATCGAGGTCATCAACGACGAGTCTGACAATGACAGCGGATGGAACGACGTTACCTCGTTTGGCCGTACCTACCGCTTGCCCGAGAAGGGCATCATTTTGGATTTTGTCTCACAGTATGTTTCGTTCTGCTAGAATGCTGAGGTCCTAGTTACTGACTTGTCCAGGGTTCTCCCGGAGGAAACCCGTTGCTCCAGCAGCCCCCGACGACGAACAACTGGAGGCTGCGCCAGAGTCGCGACCCATGATCGGCCAGGTGTCGATCACGGAACACCAGGCAGCGCTGAACCTGGCTCAGCTGCGCGAATCCAACAGCGACGGTCTTTCTCAGCTCACCACAGCTCTTCTGGTAGGTTTTGAGACGGACCATCCTGCTATGTCGCATTTCCTAACAACTGTCCAGGATAACGCCGATCCTGCTGTCCTGTCGCTCATAGCGCGCGGCGACGCCACTAACCTCGCCAGCGGCAACCTGGGCCAGCGAGACCAGCAGAGCCTTCAGGCCATGCTCGCGGAGTGCAAGGCCATGGAAGCACGCATCCATGCTGCGTTGGCGGGCCAGAGCCCTACGGCCCGCGACGGCGATGCTCTATCCGCAAAGACTGAGTCGGCCGAGGTTGATCTTCCTACACCTGCCACGACAGGCCCAGATCACCTCGAGTCTGCCAACGGCAAATCCGACCAGGGTGAGGCCGGCATTATGGATGTCGATTAAGTTGTCACTCATACACTCTCTCCGACCACGTAATACCCCTGTTCTGTGTCCGAGTGTACCACGCGAGACGTGTTCTTCGTACTGGGCACGGCGAATAAACGACGCTCTCGATTTTCCATTCCAGGGACTTCATTTCTTACTTTCTCATAAATTGATTCCCCCCCCCCACACATTGGCGGATCGCCCGGCGTTGAATGGAGAACTGCGTCTCTTTTTCTTCTAGTGCCCGTTCACCCAGCCACCCCATGTTCGCCACCCCCCTCCAAAAACAAAAGGGGAACGGGAATTCCTGGGACCGGCGGGCTCGGGTGGCGCGACGCTTCGGCAGCTTTGGTCTATTACTTTTCTTCTTCAAGCGCCCCGGGACCCATGGTCTTTCGAAGGTGGATAGGGTGGGAGCGCGAAGGGGTTGCGCGCGAGGTGCGTTGACTGTCTTGCGGCACCGAGGCCGTTTGAAGATCTCCTCATCCCGAGGAACTGCGAGGGCGTATCTTCCTCGCTTTGCGGTCGAGCGAGACGCGCGCCGCATGGGAGTTCGAGGGCCTGAATGGCCATGGAGAGAAGAGAGGAGGGCGAGGCAGACGGATACACTTTTATGAGCGCGACGGCGCGCGAGGCTTCCCGGTAGGCTAGGGAACGTGTTGTATCATACTTGCCGAGAATACACTTCATTGACGTGACGTGCTGCGGGTGCGCGGGATGTGTTCACAGAGGGTACGGCAGTCGAGCCGGTGATGAGAATCTCGGGTCTGTCTGACCACTCGTCTTGCAGATTTTGCCATGTCCTGGTTCATGTCCAGATGCAGATGCGCAGCAAACTTAGGAAAGTCAGATTGGCTTTGACGGTCGACATATCGCCCATGAGGACTGTAGCTATCGATACCCCAGCATGTGCGCTACATCCTCTGCAGGGCCGCGCCAAGGGGGGGGGGGGGCTTCATCTGTAGACAAGTAGTAACGGAGCAGGAGTAGCCTCTCGCAGACATCCTTCAGACATATTTCGACACGACGCCACCCCTTGCGTTGCCCCCCTCCTCAGACCGCCAATACAAGATCCCGCCAAGGAACCAGGATATGCAAACAGCTACCGGCGTCGACCATGACACGTGAGCTCCTGTTCCTCCGGATCCCTCTCGAGCGGCACGTGTCCCGCGCCCCGCCGCCGCCTGCGCGCCACGCTCTGCTTCAGCATACCGAACAGGCCGGGCATCTCCGACTCGGGCCCGCGCATGACGGAGGCCGGGTGGGCGACGTTGTAGGCCGCGACGGCGAGGGCCATGGGTGCGGCCTCGAGGGCGTAAAAGTAGGCTTCGCGCACGAGGAGCGGGTTGTCGGTCTCGTGGCCCGACGAGAATTCGACGAGGCGGAAGACGATGCGCGTCGTGATCATGGCGAGCGAGACGTAGAGGGCCCACAGCAGCGGGCGCCAGGTGGCGGCGGCGGTGGCGGCGGCGGCGACGCGGCGCATGTCGCGGTGGAAGACGAGCGTCAGGCCGAGGAAGAGGAGGATGAAGAACTCCTGGAGGGCGATGCCGCCCATGTAGATGTGGATGGCGCGCATCTGCTCGGCGGGCGGGGTGGTGGGGCCGGCCATGGAGCCGCCGGTGAGCTGAACGGCGAAGGAGACGATGTCGAGGGCCACGAAGAGGGCGGCGAGGGTCGAGGCGGGGAGGCCGAGGACGGCTTGCCGGGGGTGGAAGAAGTGGATCATACGGCCGAGGGTCATGTAGGCGAAGGCGTTGACCCCTTTCCAGACGACATGTCAGACATGCAGTGAGCTTCCAATATATGGGATCGGATACTTACAAATGGGGGCCAGCAGGATAAAGATTTGGAAAACAAGATAGATGCCGCTAGACTGCTGGTGTTTTGTGCTGATGGCGCGGAAGAGGAAGGCTAGGGTCTCCCAGATGCTCGCCATGATGATAACCCAGCACCATGCCTGACCTGTTAGACTCTGGTTCTTCGGAAGGGACATGACACCTTGCGTGCGTGTGACGTACGAACCTTTTTGTACCTGGCGGCCTGCCAGATGTGGATGGCCGTCAGAACCGCGAACAAGATGGCAAAGGCGGCTGCGGCCGCGAAACTGGGGTAGTAGTTCCAAAAGGCACCGCACTCTCCCGGCGGTACGTGGCCATTGGAATCCGGCTTGGCAGTGGTGGTGCAGGTTGGAATGGCAATGTCAATGGTCTTGGCGGGCAGAGTGACATGGTCATTTGTCATGCCAGGTATCGTAACATGTTGCGTGATTGTGAAATACTGCCTAGGCGCAGGCGATTGGGTTGAGAGTGACGGTATCTCTTCCCGTCTGTCGTGTATAGGTGTAGGAGTCGGCGCGGTAGAGATAGTTCTTGAAGGCAGGCAGCTGACAGCGGTGACAGTGACCAACAGGAGGAATACAGAAAAACGCATGGCTGTATTGATAGAAATCAAGGAATGACACAAGATCGTAGAAAGCAAGTATGAAGCCTGTGGTGGTCGAATTCCAAACAAATCGATCCAAAGCCGACTTGTAGCTTTATATGAAGAAGGGCGTTGCGTATCCATGCTCATGAACGACTATTTCTGGGCTCTCCTATGTTCACAGCCCCCTGTCGCATGCTTGTTCCTGATCTCAAGTTGCGAACCGACCAATCGCGTAGTTCCATTTGGCGAAGGGTCAGCTTGCGCTTCGGGACAGCAACACGCATAAGCCGCAGACCTACCATATTTACTTGCTCCAACTCTGCCTCGCCTAGGCTGCTACTGAGTACCACTCGTCTCGCACTGTAATGGATTCCCCTGGCCTTCTCATCAGATACGCGACCCTCTGCTGCAAGATGATGCCACCGTCGTGGCTTGTTACGGTTTGCTCCTCATTCAGCGTGATCGAGTCTTGGATCCGCTGTTCTTCAGATGGGAGTGCCTCGTCACCGCTATGAACCTCCTGGTTATTGTCCAGTCCCCCTTGTAACCCATGTTCCACCTCGATCGTTCGTATCCCCGACGCAATCATGGTCCCGTTCTCCCAAAGACTCTCCCTTCTACAAGCCAGTGTCTTCATCAGACTCAAAGCAGCAACACGCAGCCTCAGAGACCGGCATTTAATGACGACAAATGCCAGCAGCGGTCCGAACCCCATCTCAAACGTGAACTTGGGGCTCGCGCGGACATTACGTAGTGCCTGTCCCCGAGCTTCGGCTTGCCGCGCAAGTTCTATGATGGAGCGGAACTTGTCGAGGTGTAGATCATACACCATCTCCCCCCTCGACAGGCACGTATCGATCCAGATCTTGGCAACAAGCCATTTCATGCCGAGTAGGCGCTCGACGATCTGCGTCCGCATGTCGCTGGGGTCGTGCTGTGGACTCTTCTGCCCCTGATATGTGTGGAAAGCCTTGGCCCACCCGTCTAGAGCTGCGTCCAGACTGACCCGCTCACGCAAGGTCGTCATGCCGGGCTCATCGTCGGTCGACTGCCCGAGCCGATACTCATCGGCAGATCGAACAAATCGAATGACCTGCAGAACGAGCGGATCGAGAGAGGACTGGGCCTCCGCGATGGTCCAGAACGTGGTGGGGTTGTGTGGTTGACGGGTCGTGATTTCAGGAAAAGATTCGGGCCGCGCGCCGAAGAAGAAGGGAAAGATGGCCATGCGATAAAAGGCAGGCAACAGCTGGTCGCGGACGATGGACGAGTCTATGCGGTTCCCAGCCACCATGTTGATGCCATGCCGGCAGTGACTGACGGCACCCTCGCAGTCGCCGCGCAACATGTCAATGCAGGTGAACAGAATGCAGACGAGCAGCACGGCCTCGTGGCTGTTTGTGGTCCTCAGTTGCCTGATGGCCTTGTTGTAATGCTTGACAGCGAAGGCATTCTTCTCAATCAAGGGTGACCTGGCAAAGCCCTGCTGAAGGTTCTCGTACAGCGAGCTGATGGCAAGCACAGCGTGCCTCGCGGCTTGCTCTTGGTGGGTGAACTGGATCACCAGGTGGGTCCAGAAAAAGCCATCCAGGGGCCCAGCGAGAACAGGGGCGACGACTTCACGGAAGAAGCCCAAGGCGCGGAGTTCACCGGCCGCGTGGGTGGCGGCAGGACCCGGCGTTGGGCTGGAGCGTAGCAACTGAGCCCAAGAGTAGCTGGCGGTGGAGGGTGTGGAGTAGCCGTCACATGCCCTGCCTGTCGTGACACAGCGTCGACAAGCGGGACGCGCCTCGTCACATTTTATCCTACGAATCCTGCGCAGTGGTCAACAAGTGTTTATTATTTGTTCCCTCCGAAAGAGAGATGGAAAGAGATGGAGAGGAAAACGTACTTGCAGGTGATGCAACCCGTCTTTACTCTGGAGATGCCAGATCGAGCCATGATGCGGAGTAGGTCTGGAAAGGGGAAGCCAGGAGAAGAGGTGAAGAAATGGGACGCACGAGACAAGGCAGGCGGCAGCCGAGCATCACAGGAGAGATGGCTCAAGAGTCGGTCTGAAGAAGGATAAGAGGTCCCGGACTGAGAATGTGGCCTGACATGGTGCTGCAATCGGCCAGAGAATCAGTAAACGGCCAGGCAGCGAGATAGCAGAAACTGGAGGAAGAAGCGGACGACGACGAAGAGAGGTCTAAAGACCAAGTCCAGACCGACCAGGGGAAGGAGGTTGAGCTTCAAGGTTCAAGTGGGGCAGGAGCTACAGTACAGGGCTGAGTCGAGTCTCCGATCCGCTACAAGACCCACCGAACCTCCCCTGTCCGATCCTGAGCGGGGCATTTGCGAACCGGCCAATACGCTCACCACTTGATCATTCTGGTAGTCCCACTTCCACTACCACTTGCACTCATCTCATCTCATGTCATATGTCAAGAAGGAGAGAGCCCCATTCAGCCTTGGGACAGCCAGATTCGACAACTTTCATCTCCTACAAGTATCACCCCCTCTGAAGAGATTCCATTGCCGGCCTGAAGCATGACTTCGATGTCATCAGTCGAATCACCATGCCATGCGTAGTCGTTATGGCGCCAAAACCTAGGCGCCTGAACTACCGCGACCAGCGGGGCACCGACCAGATCTCTCTCTGCATGCCACGCCCTCTTGACGTTAGGTCACCGGCCTCATAGCTTCATCGCAAGGCTTGCTGGGCTTCAGAGGCAATATGGTAGAGACCTTGGTGCCCGACTCAACGCTTCTTCTACGTTCAACAGGCCTCATGCTCCTCAGCCGCAGGTGTGCCAGACGTGTCAAGTGCAAAGACGCAGAAGCATGTGGCAATGCGCCCACGAGCTCACCTCGGCGGTTTCTCAGCACCTCTTGAGCTGTGAGGCTCGCTGAACCTTGATCATTCGTCTCGTTGGGTAGCAACAGAAAGCAGACCCAGCTTCGCGCTGCCCATCTCTCGGGCGGACGCCGTCGACAGGCTTGACGGCGTGACCTATGTGAGCCTGCAGCCCTGCCCAAGTCTATGCACGTCCACGTCGAG